GACCTCGCCTATGCGAGTAATTGTTAAATATAATTAGTAGAATTACACACTCATTTTTATTGTTTTTTTCTTTTTTACTCATGCTCGATTGGAGGACAGATGCATAGATGACGTCATCATTAAAAAAAACATTTTTCCTTCTTTATTACGTAAAACAAATGAGTTCCTTATTGTTGTGGGTCTGTTCAGCTATAGATTATGCACAGAAGCTGCCTGGCTCTGCTAGCCCCTATGGTTATCGCAGGCAGCCAGTACTCTAACTTATACTTTTTATATTCTCTTTGTTGTAACTTTTTCTGAGCAAGAGTGAGTACAAATTAAGATTGTTGTTGTTGTTGTTGTTGTTGTTAAATGTGGTAAGAAAATCAGTGACGTGCTTGGCTGTCCTTCATATGCCGCTCTTGTTCTTCACGTCATCTGTGATCTACATGTATTACTGAACAGACACAAGCAATGTGGAATCTATTCATTAATTTGATAAATTATGGAACTTGTGTGTTTCCTTAGGGAAAGAAAAATGCTGGTGGCAGGTTTCAAGGTCTTGATATTGAAGATGATGTGGCTGTGGAAAATGATGGAAATGAAGATGTATTGGAAACAGTGACAAGTTCAAAGAAAAACAAAAAAGACAAGAAAAAGCAACAATTTGAGACTGAAGCAGAAATTGAACAAATCACTTCCAAGGATGATAGCAAAAGTGAAAATGATACTTTGGATACAAATAATGATGATGAGATTTTAGATGAATCCAATGTCACCACTTCTAAAAAGTCTAAGAAGAAAAAAAAAGACAAAAAGGATTTTGACCTAGATTTGGAGGACGATTCAGGAGATGAGAAAGTGAAACCTGTCCAGAAGCCAGATACTGTAGCACAGAAACCTGACACTACTCTTGATGATTCTGGTACAACAATAAAAACAGCAGCACAAAAGAGAGCTGAAAAGAAAGAAAGGGAGAAAAAGAAAAAGGAAGCTGAAAAAGCCAAGGCAAAAGCAAAAGCTACGAAAGAGGTAACTAAAGGAGAAGCCAAGGAGGAGGACAAAAGTGGGGAAGGAAATAGTGAAACCCAAGCAGAACCCAGCTGTGAAGATAAGGGAGCAGGTGAAGTATCAGAACATGTTGGGCACTTTAGTTACTGTATTACTACATTCTGTGCAGTTTGCTTAATTTTGCCTTGAGTTCTTGTTGGTTAATGATGATGTTGACCTTCACTCCAATTGGCTGTTGCGATTACTTTGGTTTTTGTTTCACCAGGCTCAACTGAAAACTACTCTGTGAGACTCTATGACTCTCAAATGTTATGAATTTATGTGTAATTTGTGGCTGAATTGCTTCTTCTGCTGAACATTTTTTATTGTTGTTTTACGTTTTTTAACTCGTTTCTTTAACAAGGTGCTGGTAATATGGAAGCCGACCAGACAGCACCTGTTAATAACCTTGAAGACAATGGTGAAGACCAAGAAGGTGAAGAGGATGGAGAGGAAAAGGATAAAAAGAAAAAGAAAAAGAAGAAAAAAGGAGAGAAAGAAGAGAAGAAAACAAAGAAGCCCAACAAAGCATTGGTGAAACAGATGCAGGAGCAGCTGGAGAAACTCAAGTTGGAGGAAGAAAGAAGAAAACAAGAAGAAGAGGAAAAACAAAGAGCACTTGAAGAGGCAGAGAACAGGAGACTTGAGAAGGTAACTTTCTGTCTTCTACTATCAAACCAAACTGCACAACAGACTGTTGGCAATATTGGTGCTGGAGCATCTGGCTAAGACACAGCCACATGTCTAAGCTGCTCAATGTCATAATATAATTATTATTGATGTGTCGTGATGATGATGATGATGATTATTATTATTATTATTATGATTATTATTATTATTATTAACATATTATTATCTTTAAGAGAGAGGGGGGTTCCTCCTAAACCTACCTTTTCCCCCAGAAACTAACCCTTCCTCTCATCTCAGCTAATTGACATGTGCACTCTTGCTTACTTGCTGCACTGATACACTCATGTAGGTATACTCTCCTTGGCATGTGTAAATTATGTTAATTGCCGTGGTTTTTTTATGGATAAAACACTCTCTTAAAATCAATGTCATTCTAACTACAGTAGTCAAGTAATTGATTAAATGCCCAGGGGTTTCATTAATTTTATCAGCAGGAGGGCAACTGGTTTTCACAGGCGGGCAAAACTTTTTGAACTAAACTTCTTTATAAGATAAACCTTCCTCCAGATTGTTAAACCAGGTGGGCAAAACAGTCCTTACAACCGGTCAATTTGGCCGGTGCCCGGCCCTTAATGAAACCCCTGAATGCCAGTCGTTTTCTGCAATATTTTTATGAAAAATACAATTAGAATAACTAAGAATTAATGAATGACCTGCTTTTGAGTTTTTGCTCACTGATCAATACTAACATATTGATTTGTCATTATTTTTTTAACAGTTAAGACTTGAACAGGAGAGGAAAGAGAAGAAAAAACAGAAAGAGAAGGTACATGTACATGGGTGTGCTTTTCATCTTTATTAACTCTTAACTTAACTCCTAAACTCTCTTATTCCCCCACGAAGCTGCTGCATATCTCCTTGTAAATTATTTACGAGAATTTGGTGTTAGTTCAAAATAAACACTGCTACCTAAAAAGTTGGAGTATTTTTATTACCTGTTAGCTGGATAGTGAAGGGTTATTCTAGGGAGAAGTTGATTGTTAATCACTTCTGGGAGTGAAAGAGTGAATACAGTGGTGACACATGGTCACCACTTCCCATCCATCTTACTGCCTCCTGGTGAGCTCAATTGGTTAGAGAGCCGGACTGTTGTGCGGGAGGTCAAGGATTTGAGCCCCGGCCGGACCAACACTCAAGGTCTTAAAATAATTGAGAAGAATGTACTACCTTTCTAACATCACGAAATAAATAGACATTCTAGTCTTCTTGGATAAGGACAAATAAATGGTAGGTCCCATCTCCTGCATCTATTAATTAGTTAATTTGGTTAGGCAGGGGACGTTAAAGAACCCACTCACGAGATTACTGTGATGTGGTCTGGCCTGTTTACTGGGCCCGCAGTAATTGGCGCAAGCCTTTGCAGAGTCCCTTTCTGTCAGCGAAGCTAATAAATTATAATTATAAATTGATTATGAATTATTATTACTAGTTTACAGTGTGTGCACTCTTTTCACTGGAAAAATTTTTTAAATTAATGGCAATTTGTAGGAGAAGAAAGAGAGGCTTAAAAAGGAAGGAAAACTCCTCACTAAATCACAGCGGCAACAACGAGCACAAGCCCAAGCCATGCTGGACTCAATGAAAAAACAAGGTACCTAAGAAATAAAGAAACTCTGCTTTAGAATTGGAGTTAATCTTGTGCAGAGTGAATTCTCAAGCGAAGGGGATCAAGGAAATGATGCTCATTGTAAATAACTTTTCAAATTGTAGGTCTAATCAATATTCCGGCACTGAATCAACAAGAGCAAGATGGAGTAAGGAAGCCAGTGAGGTATGGTACAAAAAAACCTAAGAAACAGCTGCAGCAGCAGCAGCAACAAGATCAGGAAGAAACAGTGCAGGTTGAGGCTGAGGATATTGGTAAGGAAAAGAATGTTGTGTTTCAAAATTTATCTTTAGTTAAAACTTAAAGTGTGGTTTAAATTTTTCTGGTCCTTGTTTCAAGAAAATTAATTTCAAATCAATTCATTTCTACTTTCCATTCTCTTAAATTTCTGACTTTAAGTGAGACAAACAAAAACAAAACTTGAGGTTTGAAGACTTTAAAAACGGGGAAAAAAAATAACTTCATCATAACGTTGGATAATTACATTTCACCCAACAGCTGAAACAACTGAAGGGACAACTGTTGAAGAGGAAGACAAGAAATCTGAAGGTAGGGACTACTTACAGACTAACTTCAACGATCTGATTTATAATTCTCCCCTCTAGCTGACACACATTTCCCTGTAAATTAGTTAGGAGGATTTCGTGTTAGATCAAGATAATAACTTTAAGCTGATAAGTTTGAGTATTCTCCTTACCTACTTCCTGAATAATGTATTGATTTTATCGGGAGAAGTTACATGTTAATCACTTCTGGGAGTTCTAGAGCTAATATGAAAACATTTTTTCGTAACTGAGATGTCGAGAGGTACGTTTGGACTGTTAGTTCTAGAAAGTAATTGTTTTTCATCTTATCCTCTGCAGAGCAACAGGATGATGACGATGAAAACGATGAACAAGAAGAAGACAAAGATGAAGAAGAAGACGACGAGGAAGAAGATGAGGTAAGAAAGGTGGTCACTTATTGAGTGTGGTTGTCATCTCCACTTATGTCCAGAAAATGCAAGCGGTAACGAAAATGGCAGATTTGACGAAATTGTGTCAGAATCGTCACTTTTGACAAAATTTCCACAGGTTGACAAATTTCGTCAAATCTACGATTTTCGTCACTGCTTGCATTTCTGGACACATCTCTGGTTGTCGAATTAAGGCCCTCATGGAAGGGATTTAGTAAGGGTACATATAAATGTTGTGCCGCGTAGCACTATGAACACAAATGATGGAACAGAGAGTTAACTCTAAATGATGGCACAGAGTTAATTCTCTGTTCCATCAAAGAGATGTAATACCCCGTTTACGTGAAACGGCAAACGTCGACTTGCCCTTTCACGTTTCACGTAAAATGGCGTGAATCTTATTGCTTAAGCTTCGCGTGAGCTCACGTCATGGTGCATTGGAAGGCGCTCCTGTATGACTTATTTCCTCAAACGCGAAAGGGGTTATTTTCACGTAGAAACGGCAAAGTGCATCCAGCAAACGTGAAAAAATGGCGGGAAAAACGTTATCACGTGGTCACTCTTGCTGTTCGCGTTACAAGTAAACGCGGTGAAAAATCTCTCTCTATTTTCAGCGCTGCAGGACGCGTGTTTCTTCGATCGCGAGAAGATTTGAGACGAGTCGGGGAGAGGTTCGCCGGGAATCTGGCGCTATTATCATTTGTAGTGGCCCTTTACAGACCTCTCTACCGCTTGCGTTGCTCAGGACCTCTCTATCGCTTGCGTTGCTCAGGGCCTCAAGGCGAATGAACGCTTTTGCCGAAACGAGACGCCATTGTTATAGAAAATCTTCAGCAACAACTTTTCGATAGCATTATCTGTTGCTAGGCAACCTGAGTACCAATCATGAGTTAGTAATTTTGCCCTCTTCTCAAGCAAAATTAAGAAAAAATACCCTCTTCATTGACAATCAGCATTCAGTAATTTTGGCCTCTATTTTATTATAAGAGTAATTCGAAGTCGAATTCGAGATTTTCTGAATGAAAATCACAACGTTAGGGGACGAGTGCCCTGCGGAAATCGCGTTGTGGTAGAAACAAGATACCGAGATACCGGCTTGCTAGAAATCCTGCAGTATTTCCATTTGGAAGGGGCCTCATTCCAATGCCATGCAAAGCTTTTTTCGTTAAAAGTGATATACTGAAGCTTCACAATAAATTCGTTGAAATTTGCTTGAGATTTGCCCAAACCGTTTCACTTCCAATATCTCATTCATAATTCTCCTTACTGTCTGCATTACAATTCTTATGATGTTAATGCTGAGAATTCGGTTTTGGATCAACTGATAATTCCCTTATCGATATTTTTCTTTCTTCTCATCACTTGTCTGCTTGATATTGTATTGATATTGTAAGGAGAAATTCTGTCTTGGTCACTCATGGGAGTTAAATCTTGAATTCAAGTCTGGTAAGCGTGTAGGTCTTTATTTTGAAAACTGTAAATTTCTGTTATCTGTTGAGCTTCTGTTTCTTTTTTAGGTTAAGGATTCTTGGGAGGTTGATTCTGATGAAGAATCAGAGGAAAGTACTGCTGTTAAAGGTCTGTAGTTTTTTTTTTTGTTTTTTTTTTTGTACTTTCGTCTGGTAAACTTGTATAGTGCCGAGTGATTTCTTTCAATTTTTCCAGTTTCATTGTAGTGACTTTTATCAATTCTTATTTGTCGCTTGTCGGTTGTGATATTATAAAAATGAGCATTAAGAAAAGTGGAGACAAATGAAAATTGAAGATTGAGGAATAGCCCGTGAGCAGGTTATCTTTATAAGTGCCTCAGCTCGAGGCGTTCCTTCTTCAGTGACAGAATAAGTTTGAGTAGACGGCGAGAGAACAGCAAGTGGTCTAGCACTAATAATTGTTAGTGCCAGATGACTGGCGTACCTCTGGCTGGTTCGCTTCGCTCAAGACCTTTTAAAAACTTAATCGCGAGCTAAGAAACGCGTGTGCCTGAGCTCTTGTATGATGAGGGCTGGCTGATGGAGAAAGTAGACCACAATATACTACCTTTGAAGATGGTTGTAACTGTTTTCCATTTTCTGTTTTTTACAATACCCTATTCTGTGAATCCTGCATTAAGGGGTGGGTGACCACTAAATACAGGTTCGCTTGTAGGTTGTTACGACGCTACTGTGTTTGTTGTGTTTTTATTTCATTGCTTATGTAGAATGCAGCAATCTGAACAATGGACTTTTTATTGTAGATTCTCATACCAAACCAGCTGACACCGTTCAGGTAAGCTGAAGGCTTTTCCGTTTGTTTAATTTTGTAAGAGGCCCCCTATTATTTTACGTTACATAACATTGTCGAACGTGATTATTTACCAACATTGTAACACGTTCCAAACAACAGAAATACTCACTTCAAATGGTCGAAAACCTGTTGTATATTGTAGCGATAAACTCATAGTAATTTTACAAAAGCAGTAGACAGAAGTACCCATCGTTTACCGAACTAATAAACCACATGGGAGAATACTAGAGTAGAATAGTAGAATACTAGAAAAGTTTGAAGAAGCCAGTTTTAATTCCTTAAAATTCAATCAACAGCGAGGCCTTTCTTATTATAATATTATAATTATGTACAATGAATATATGAAGTTCATATATTTGAACTGCGGTATGAGATACGTATGTTGCACGATCCTCGCAGTAGAGAGCGCTATTTATGCAATAGCGAAAATCAGACCTGAAAAAAATCAGGCCTGTACGGGATTCGAACCACTGACCTCTGCGATACTAGTGCAGCGCTCTACCAATTGAGCTAATATTATAATTATTCTATCTTTTCTATTATAATTGAGCTAATATTATAATTATCGTATCTTTTCTAAGGTGGAAGTCAAAGAGCCAATAGATGCAGCTGCCGAGAGTGAAGAAGAATCTGAGGGGAGTGAGGAAAGTGAAGAAGGAAGTGATTCTGAGGAGAATGACGATGACAGTGACAGTGAGGAAGAGTCGGAGGACGAGGAAAGCAAAACAGAGACCGTACGGGAAAGAATACAGGTGTGATTTAACAACTTACAGTCAAACTAATTGAAGAGACCGTACGGGAAAGAATACAGGTGTGATTTAACAACTTACAGTCAAACTAATTGAAGAGACCGTACGGGAAAGAATACAGGTGTGATTTAACAACTTACAGTCAAACTAATTGAAGAGACCGTACGGGAAAGAATACAGGTGTGATTTAACAACTTACAGTCAAACTAATTGAAGAGACCGTACGGGAAAGAATACAGGTGTGATTTAACAACTTACAGTCAAACTAATTGAAGAGACCGTACGGGAAAGAATACAGGTGTGATTTAACAACTTACAGTCAAACTAANTTTTAACCGAAGTTTTATTTTATGTGTTTGTAGATTCGTCATACCCATGTCCAAGACGGAGAGGCTGGTGGGATCACGCAACAGATCGGTGCTACTATGGTGCCTGTAGATGCCATTAGAGAGCAGACTAAGATGATTAAAGAAGTAAGAAATAAATGTTTTATAATATTCATTGTACGTTGGTCCTGGTCATAAGAACCTTGCATGCAGTTATCAGTGTCGTTTTCCCGCGGCTTTAATTTGTTGTCGCGCAAGATGAAAATTTTAAACGGTGAGGCTAGATACCTTGAAGAAAAAGATATCGCGTCTTTTGAAGAGGCTCGAAGAGCGAAATATTTAACGGTTCAACTGCTTTCTGTCAATTCTAAATTGTGCTTCTTTTGAAAAAGTGTGAACAAATGATGTGATTTCTGTTTTTTTTTTTTTTGTGAAATGCGAAGCATTATCATTCAAGTGTTGGAAAAAGTTGTTACGAACAAAGTGATAGCAGTAAATTGATCTTTTCAGCTTTTTTGTGAGGGATATTGTTTCTAATTTTTATTTCAGTTCCAGTCTTTTGACGTAAAGCTTCCTGGTCTTCTTATTATCGACACACCAGGGCACGAGTCATTTAGGTGAGATTTCATCTCAGCGCGATTGATGGCGTGCGAGTTGATTACAGAAAAAGTTATCAAATAGGATTATAAGTGTGTATTTGATTCTGATCGTTTAACTCCCTTGAAAAAGCTGTTACTGAACGTAAAAAAGGAAAGAAGAATTGAAGCTTGAACACGTGAACGTGGTGAACCCTAACCCTTTCACCCCTAAAAGTGACCAGCATCTAATTTCTCCTTACAATATCACCCCTGAATCACACATAAAGGTCAGGAGAATACAGGAAATGATCACCAAAGTAAAGAAGGAATTCTGCTCCTTGTCAGCACCTTAAGAAATGTGTAGAGAATAGTATGGAGAATATGCATACTGATGTTAGAGTGTTGAGGGTGAAAACCAGTGCCTCTCTGATACCGGTAAGGCACCAGTGCCTCTCTGATACCGGTAGGGCACCAGTGCCTCTCTGATACCGGTAAGGCACCACTGGCAACTGTGCTACAAAGCTCCATGTTGGGAGCGAGGCAAATTTTAGAAGGGTTTTGTGATCAAAGGAATAATTTTGTTAACAATGATAAAATTCATTGTAAAGAAAAGTCTTTACGGAGAGACAGGCTCAAAAACCCGTCGAATCTTGGCTACTCTCGGGCTCCTCTTTCTGCAGTTGCTTAATTTGCAGTTTACTTGTGAGTGGCTGTTATCATTAATTCGTTACCAATCTATCATGTTTTCTGCATTTGAATACGTCTCGCATCATTCCACTCGGAGAGAGATTTTAACAAAGTTGAACCCAAATATGATTACCGGTAGCACTTACTATTAAAGTGCAGTTTAAGCTAGCCGTATTTAAATCTTCATGGTGTGTATGGTTGTATATTGCAGTAATTTACGATCCCGTGGTTCATCGCTGTGTGATATGGCGATTCTAGTGGTAGACATTATGCACGGCTTGGAGCCCCAAACCATCGAGTCACTTAACCTGTTAAAGAAGAGGAAGACTCCTTTTATAGTGGCACTGAATAAGGTACGACATACAGTTAGCATCCGCGGCGAATAAAGGACGTTCCGAAAGAGTGGCCGAACAAAATTTGGGCACGGGTGTGAGAATGCTTTGCACTGACCGCACACGACCATTCTTTGGTTAACTCAAAACAAACTATATTATTGATGTTTTCTTTTTTCTTATTTTATTCAATTATGCGATTCTATGAAAATCCATTGCGTGATTCGTGAATTCCTTGTAAATTGCAGTTGAAAATCGATATCGCACGAATCGCGAACGCTTTTCGCGTGCAATTTAACGCGGAATTCCTTCGTCAAGTGATGAAGTTTCCTATCGTAACTTAAAGACGATTGTATGTGAAAGTTTTTTTCTTTTTTTTTTTATTGTGAATGAGGCTCCTGGATTGCTTTGATACCTACTGCATTCCAGCATTCTTTGGCTAATTTATACAT